TGCTGCAGGGGTGTGTAGTGTAAGTGGTTACAGGTGTAACACACTTTGGTCCTGGGGTAGTTCGATCTCCCACCCCCGACCAGCCAGACCTTTATCTGTTGAAAGTTTATAAATTGGAAATAAGGGGGGGGGGGGCTTAGGCTTAGGTTTTTTTGTTGCAGAATATAAGCACTGACATGAAACACGGGTAGGCCATACTGTGAGTCCTTGATGAAGCCGACAGAATGGCACATTCCTAAGAAATAGATCAATGCAGGACGCCTTCATCTTTGATGCCCTGCTAAGATATACGGCTGGTGCTCACTCACTTAGCAAGGTTATGCAGACCTAGAAAGAGTGGAAAGTAAACTGTTGATAAGGCAAAATATGCCTGTTCGAAAGTCAAGCAATAATGGTAAGACTATCCCTATAAGAAGAACATTCCATCCTGAGGGATCTAAACTGGTTGCAAAGTGAATGATCTCGATCTCATTCAAAAGAAAATTGGACATGAAATACTTTAGGCCCGGAAATGTTGCTCCGTTACATCCATTCGAAAAATTCAGTAGAGGAAAAACTAGTTTCTCAATCAGCGAAGTATCACATAATAAAAACTGTACAGCGGCGAGCGTTACTCATGGTGAACTGAGCAATTTTTAGACGTATTTCTTGCCATAGTCACACTTAATCAATGGTTCATCGCTTGGTTTCACGAGTGTCCATTGAAAAATAAAAAGATCCATTCCGGCCTACTCGGTTTCCTTCCGTAAAATGAAAATTGTAAAACGACTTAACCAACGCAGTATGTCTGCTAAGGTGTTGCTTCTAATTTTTACTTCGTCGCACAAAACTTAACCATATATATATATATATATATATATATATATATATGTATGAAGTTGAAATTTTGTCCATACGTATATGTGTGTGTTTGTGCGTATACGTATTTATGTGTGTACATGTGTATATACATGTCATGTATATGTATTTATATATACGTGTATATATGCACATAAATATGTAATCTTTCGTTGGTAAGTTTACACGAGGTTGATATATGATCTTTGTTCGGCAGACGTTTCGACAGTTTCGTCTTCATCAGAGTCGATAATTGTCCGGAAAACCGAGTCGTTATCACCAGGCAATCACTAATACCAACAGCCAGCATCATGTATGAAGGAGAATCGCCGAGTGAGTATGGCTCATTCGAGAGGGATGCTCCACTGAGGAAGATCCAGCTCAATGCGCGACGAAGACGCCACTTTGAGAGCACGAACAATCGTTGACTCGGATCATCGGCTCTGATGAAGACGAAACCGTCGAAACGTTAGCCGAATAAAAATCATATATTAACCTCGTGTAAGCTTATCAAAGGAAGGTTGTATATTGATTAGTCATACCGAAGTTAAAGGAAAGTCGGTTTTGAGATATGCATATATAAACGTGCATATGTATATATATATATATATATATGCATATATATGCGTATGCATTTCAAATATATAAATATATATATATATATGTGCGAAGCATGCGTATGTAATCAAACAAATATATTTGCCCATTTATACACAATTTATATGCGCCGGTTTACGCATGCTGATTTATTTTTAAGTGGATTCCTTGGACGTATATGCAGTGTGTATGCATCGTGTTTGTATGCGCATGTTTGTATTTCGACGTGTGTGCGTGTGTGTGTGTGTGTGTGTGTGTGTGTGTGTGTGTGTGTGTGTGGTGTGTGTGGGTGTGTGTGTGTGTGGTGTGTGGGTGTATGTTTGTGTGTGTACGTGTTGTATGTGTGTGTGGGCACGCTGAGGATTTTTCTAACGGCTCTAGTGCGTTGATTGAAGGATAAGTAGTTCAACATTTACTTCGATGCATGTTTATGAACAACGTAAAGTAAACGAAATAGGAAGGCAGCGGATGAGAAGAGTTAGGAAAGTGATTTGCTGAGGTTACAAGTGAAATAGTATGACCTTAAATGAGAGAGTGTGTGTGTGAGTGAGTGAGTTTCGGAAGTATTGTGTCATGAAGTATAGAATTTGCTCCAAATTTCTTCCAGAATCCCATACATCCATTTTTTCTGTGCTATTTAGATCTGTCCATTTAAAATTAAAGACCGATGAGGGAATGGCCGGAGAACCATCGATCATCGGTGATTCGATGATTCGATTTTACACCACCAAAGTGCTAAAATGATCGAGTGCAATGTAAATCACTAATGGAGTAGAGATCAAAATCCAGAATACTTTATCCGAGATACCGAAAACATGAAATCCAATTTTTCCAATGATGGAATAATCGAGAAGCTTTCGGGTCTTCTCTCTGCTCGCTTACCCACAAAGCTAAAAGGTAGGTGTACGTCGTCAAATGATGGACAGCGGTCAGACGGCGGACAGAGAGTGGACTGATTTTGTGTGCTCCGCATCTCGGACGACAGAGCGCAAAGTTTTCAATTATGAGATTTTCTTAAACCAACTTTCAATTGACCTTGTTTGAATAGTCGTTCCTTTTTGATTGTTTAGCTCGTACGAGATTGTTTAAAAAAATCAGTTTACTCAGCTAACGCTTCGGTGGGTGTGGCGCAGTGGTCGGAGACGACCTGCAACACACACGTGAAATCGATCCCCGCGCACATGGCCCACCAAGCCCATGCGATTTTTCACTCCACTTGGATTCGACTTGATGTGACTGCGAAGACTCACATCACGAGAATAACGAGTGTGGACCATCAAGTCGAATCACAGCTGGCAATCTTGTATGAGGTGAACAATTCAGAAAGATCAGGAGATTTTGCTTGGGTTGAGGGCTATACATGGATGGCGGTCAGGCCTTCCCTTCAATGTCAAAGCTCAAACTTTCATTAAACTAGAGATGTCATCATGTTGTCTGGAAATAAGATTTAACACAAATATAATCGTCATCGTCTACTTCGAGCGAAAGGAGCACAAATAGATTTTTTTGAACTCGAATCAATTCGGCAGAAAAGAATGGAGATATTGCTGGTGTCTCCTCGAATCAGTCGAAGATTACCAGAATCGCAGGTGGCACCGGAAGGTGCGAGACACACAAGAAGTGATTACAGTCACAGCAAGTACCAAAATCGAGATCACAATTTACCTTGAAATCAAAATAAAGAAAAAATTGGACTGGTTCATTTGATGCGTATGGGAATCTTTCCTAACTGTAGCTTCTTCCAGCTGCTGAGGAGATCTTTATCGATCGATCGTTACTTGATCGATTAATCGAATTCTTTTGTTTTCGATTACACTGCAAACTTTTTTTGGCATTCCTTTACAAAGTCGCTGGGTTGTGCACCCAAGTAGTTCACCTCTACGATGACACGACGTGAAACTTCTACTAGGCATTTGGCTTCTTTTCAGTGTTATCATTTTTATCGTTCACTGCTTCGTGTGTTTTTCCAATAGACTCATGAAATACTAGGTTATGATCAATCCTTTACTAAAGAGCCATGTATTCACCTGTATTCATAGTATCATAAAAGTGATTGAATGTACACATGGCCTACATACTCACTCATAGGTGGATTCCGATGTATCAAGCCAGCGCTTTTCACCCTTACAGGCTAGTCCAGCACCATTTTACCCACTCTATTCGGGTGTAGGACCAACTTATGGAGCGGGATCGAACCCAAGACCATGTTCCTACTGTAGGGCTCTTTTATCTAATATGCTACACTTCGCACAAGTTTTAGTAGAGTAGCAATTCTACTTGTAAATGAAGTTATAGTAGTTGATAGAGCTACGATTTTACAAGTGAAAATGTCGCCTTTATTTAACAAGTCTATGTCATTTGCCGTCCTTATCTACTCACAGAAGTTACTTTTCAAACTTTGTCAACTACGTCACACGTTCAATTTACCTTTTGAAAGAACTAGCCCCACAGTTCATACAGTCTTTGTTTACCTATTACATATATATATATATATATATACATATGTATATATATACATACATACATACATATATGTACATGTGTGCATACTGAATATGGAACTGAGTGTCACACAAATGATGGTTGGTCCTCTTTCAAGCACGACCGCTCGTGGTGAGAAGTAGTTTGAAACTTTCATCCGAAAACCTAATTAGGACTAAAACAACGCCGGGAATTGATGACGTATTACAGAAGAACTAACTCCCAAGGTCGCAAACTCTCGTGCAACCCAAAAAGGTCAGACAAATGATGTTGGTGACAACCAAGTGGGAGTGCCCTGGCACGGGTTTCTCTACATTTCATAGAAAAAATCTTGCTAAACCAATTTTCTATCGGCTAAGTGAGGACTATTCGAAAGCCTAAACGGTTGTTGTTTATTGAGTTATTCACAATATGTTCATAAAAAGACGCAAGAAGCATAGTTGTTAATGGTGCTGTTCAATAATACGCATAAGGTTGCTAGTTGGTCTACGCTGAAGTATTCTGACAGGCACGAAATCCCTCAGAAGTCAAAAAATTATTGTTTAGAGTTATCTGATAAAAAATTCCTCACCAACTACAATCAATAAGCCAATTACTCCTGATCTCAAACGCCAGATAACAGCATAGTGGAACTACCCTAGCGTTTAAAAAAGAATCAACTCCAGCAACACTTAAGCACATTCATGAAGAAGACCGAAATCTCCAAGAAAGAGCCCAAGCTACACGCGAATATGGAAACCATGGCGGACGATGAAGGCGAGGAATCGGATCGAGCGAAAGAAGTGCTGAGCCCCACATGACACGTGATGTCGGATCATGTAAGAAAAGAAATCTGTTCATGACTAGACGGTCTTTGGGTCCTATACATTAAATTTCACTTCATTTCTTTCGCACGTGCATCGTTGCCATTCTTAGCAATTTGTCACCGACCATTTTGTTCTCCCTGTATTTTCTTTCTTGCACAACTCCTACACAAGTATTTCTCATTTCTGTTATTCGTAACCCTTATCATTATTTGTCTGTCAGCAGCCATTAGAAACTGCAGTACCGTAACCGCTTCAATTTTGTAAAATTTTCAGTTTAAAATGCTGTTAATCAGCATTTTGGCTTCGTCACTACTGATGATGGTGGTGGCCGTGGTAAATAACGCCAAAGTGGAACGCGACCCGTGTGCTTCGGCTCCTACTGAGTCAGCAAAGATCATTTGCGGTCAACTACACAGATGGGACGAAATGGCTAGGGTTAGTGAATCGTGTTTTCTAGGCATTTACATGTATTGGGTAGTTAAATAACTGCGGCTCGGACTCACCGAACGCGTGGAATCGTACAATCTGTAGCACAATTTGTATTGACAAAAATTCCTTGTTGGAACAGATTTTATCTCCATAGAATCCCGAAAACTCTACTAGTGTTTTCCATGGTCGTCATCAGTGGGCAACTAGTGAATAACGTTGTCACGAAGATGAAGTGATTGTTAGGACTGATTTACTCATATTTCGACTTCAAAATGGAAATTTCGAATTCCTTTTTAAGTTCGAGAATCCTTTTGGGAAAATGAACCTTGTGTTGTACATCGCAGACGGTAAACAACGGAACGACTATGAATACAATACAATAAATAGGATTCAACACAAACAATTTATGTAATACTGGGAGATATTACCGTTGGATAAATTCCACACCTTGATACTGGCTAGGATGCTATGTGAGCTATCTTTCTTCGGTTAGAATCGAAGTCTCGAGAGTTGTCGCCAATAAAAAGGATAAAGCTCTTGGCGTTGATCAATCCTTAAGGGATGCGCCATGCATTCGACTTTATTAAGTATCGTTGGAAATGATTGAATACATATCTGGCCTTTACAGTGATTCGCGGTGGCCTACCGATGTATCGAGTCAGTGCTGCTATCCTCCCAGACAAGTCTGGTACCAATTTGCCGATCCCGAAGGGATGGAAGGCTTGGTGGGCCATGTGCGCGGGAATTGATCCCATGTATGTGTCGCAGTGGCTCCTCCAACCACTGCGACACACGCGTCCTTAATGTGGCCAATAGCTCTTCTAAATTCTCTACTGTTTTAAAATCTTTCGAAAAAATTTTCATTATTTCGGTGTATTTTTCTACAATCTTTCCATGGTCATTACGGATCCTCTGAATTCTACTTTTTATGGAGGAGGGATGGAGGGAGGGAGGAATAAAATTCAGACCATGAACTACTAAGAAATAAAATGAATCCACCTCTGTTTCTTCTCTTTTTTCTGTCAATCAGACGAGTGTACTTGACTTGGAATTATTTTCTCAATTAGTGCCCTTCTCTTTACTTAGACTTTTTTTCCTATTGTTTTTAAGCTTTTTTCACTTAAAATATATCACCCTCTGGAAATGAGAGCTAGTATAACCGAGCTTTTTTCACCTTTAACCCTGTCATTCAAATATCTTCATATCTCCTTCAGTCTTTTCTATTATTATGAGAAAGTGGCATCAACTCTGAATGTCATCTGGCGACGCTTTTTGCATTGCAAAAAAAGATTGACCAGTGAATTCTACTTCCCTACGTTTCATTTTTCGTCGGAACTGCCCTGCGACACATGCATGGGATCGATCCTTGAGCCCGTACTTCACCAAGATTTCTATCCCTCCGGCGTCGGAAAATTGCTAGCAGACTTGTCTGGGAGAACAGCAGAACTGGCTCGATATCAGTAGGCAACTGCGAGTCATTGTAAAGGCCGGATATGCATTCAATCATCTCCAACGATACTAAATGAAGTCGAATGCGTGGCGCATCCCTCAGGAATGATCAACGCTAAGAGCCTTATGCTTTTAGCTTTATATTTAATTTTGGAACCTTACTATACGTACTGTACGAATAACTTACTTACTTGATACTTGAGTGGCCAGTCGTCACTGGTCGTGCGGGCTCGAGGATAATCTCCATTTTTCGGAGATTTGCTGGTCAAGCCATTGTGGTTTCTTAGAATCCCAAGGTGAACCTGGCTAAAGTATGTCGCAGGTGCTCACTACTACAGGTAGCCGCCACCCTTGTGGATCAAAGGAAGATTTCCCACCATGCGACTTTGATACCAGGGCGGTGGTGGATCCTGGTACTGGTTGGCTCGTAGCCAGGTTTCCCGATGGAAACGCCGGATTCCTTTTCAACTCGGAAGCCCCTGAGAGGGAGACGAATCCTCTCGCTGTACATCGCAGTCCAACACCTAAGGAATACCTCCCAGCCACAATGATGCAGTAAACAGTTGGGAGGGTACGAGTAACATCTATTTAAACTATTGAACTTACACGAAGACGACAAATAAATTTTACTCGACTAACCCTTCGACGTCCTCCTCTTCATCAGATTCCATGATCCGAGTCAACGGTCTACGATGGTTTGAAATATTATTGTACCAACAGCGTGGAAAACTATTTACTTCACTTAAAATAAAATTAGTGTAGTACAGTTAAAGGCAAAGTAGCAACCGTAATTGAGGCATATATGATTAATTTGTTTGATAAAACAGACCATACTAACTTCGGAAATTTTTTCGAGCAGTGGGAAAGTTCACTCCAGGCTAATTTTAATCCCACATGTCATTGACCTTACCCATACATCGCTTTAGGACCATACATATGTTCTGAATTAGACTGCAGTAATGTTCGTTAAGCAGAACAACCTAGCCAAATATTCTAGGATTTGTGCTAAACTGGCTCTTAGTCCATTTCCGTGGTCTGATATAGCCTTAGTGCTCAGTTATTTACCATTCCATAGAAAGTAGCCATTACCATTAGTACTACCAAAAAATTAAACTGTATTTACGTTGAAATTGAAGACGTAATATATTTAAGTGTACTGTTCAGATTTGCGCAATCTGCTGTCTTTGTAGGAGCAAGCCTTCAAGAAGAAATCGGCACTACCGCCCGGTGCCGCAGCCACGCTGCCGGCGGAACTAGCGCCGATAGCCAGTTCCATCTATCAGTGTATGGATTTGCAGTGTATGTGCTCCTATATGCGAGGTGATTGGCTTCTTCTTCAACAACGTCGCTATCACAGTTACGAACAAGTCAGCGTAGTGGGTGAGGCGCCTCGCAATGTACGCGTTGCCGTTGGTTCAAAGCCCAGCTTTGGGTTCTCTAAAGTTTCCATCTCTCTGGGCTGGTATTAGGTTCTTCAAAAATAAACGAGCTTTAACTACATTATTTAAAATGTCATAAATTGCTTTAAACAAAACTTTATTAATCAAAATCAATCAAAACCATTCAAATCTACACCTTTTCGCTAATGAAAAGCAAGTTTACTGTTGCATAAAATTCTAGAGTTCTGAACGCGATGAGTTCGTTGAAGGGATTTTTTTGCCTCGTCATGGTTGGTGAAGCATTTCTCGCGCAGGAAGTTGTCAAGGTGGTTGAAGAAGCGATAGTCAGAAGGCGAGAGGTCTGATGAATATGGCGGAGGAGACAAAGCTTCGTAGCCCAACTCTTTCAGCCTCTGCAGCCCTGGCCCACTATGTGAAGCCGCACGTTGTCATGGAGAAGGATTGGTCCTATTCTGCTGACTAATGCTGGTCGTAGAGAGCGTATGACGCATTGGTCACAGGCGCCCTGCAACTCACACAAGGGATTGATTCTCGCGCCAGTGGCCCACCAAACCTTCCATCTATCCAGTGTGGTCGAATTGGTTCCAAAGTTGTCTAGGATGATAGCAGCACTGGCTCGATACATCGATAGGCCACCCAAGTCATTGTGAAGGCCAGATATGCATTCAATCACCTCCAAAATTGCTCAATGAAGTCGATTGCATGGCTGGCTCATCCCTCTGGGTTTGATCAACGCCGAGAGCTTTATCCTTTATTACTGCCGATCCTTGTTAGAGTTTACGGTGCATTTCTTTGACTTGTTGTCAATACTTCTCTGCCGAAATCGTTTCGCCCGGATCCAAAAGCCTGTGATGAATCAACCCGGCCACAGACCACAAATACAGTCACCATAACCTTTTTTGATGCAGGTGATTGAATGCAGGGGATATCTGGTCACAATCCGGTAAAGAAAAGGGTCACTTCGTTGCGCAGAATAAAAGCATAAGACACTTCAAAACAGCGATTTTTCTTTATTATCGTTCGTGAGGCATCCACTTGTCGAGTTTTTCTGTCTTTCCTATGCGATTCAAGCGCGTGAAAATTGTTGCTGTGCTTAGACCAAGCTGTACTACAAGTTCTCGAACAGTTGTCCGCGTGTTTACTTCCACTAGCTCCTTCAATTCGTCGTCGTCAAATTCATTGCGATGTCCGTGGCCTCCGTTTACTTCGAGGTCGAAATCACCAGATCGGAATTTCCGGAACCACGCTCCCACTGTTGATTCACCAACACTGCCTTCACCCCAAACTTCATGAATGTTTCGAGCCGTCCCTGCTCCACTACGACCGAGTTTGAACTCAGAAAGGAAAATTTGACGAAAACCCGTTTTTGACATCCAAAATTGCAAAGCTCAAAACTGGTAAGAAAAATTTAGCTCTTGACCAAATATAAAGTCATGTTAGAAAAAGAATAAAATAGGCATTCTAATAATACATAATGCTGCAACGCTCATTCATTTCTGGAGAGTCTAATATATGCACAGAATTGTCTGGATGGGTAAATACACGGCTTCGCTACATCGCTGGAGCCTCGAAAGTTACTGACTGAACCAAATATTCATTAATTTACCTCAACGAAGTTTAATAGTTCTGAGTATTTGGCACATCTTAAAGGAATAAACCAAGTCTAGGCGCTAACCTTTGCTTTTGACGCCGTGAGAACTTTTTTACCTTAATATGTGAGTGTCTTGAATTCGGAGAATGTTCGGATACAAATACGACTTTCACATAACTGGTACTTTGCAAGCTGCATAACCTTGGGCTTCCATAAAGTCCCCGATGGTCGTCAGCGTCGTGAGGCACATCATTTTATGCGCTTGAGCAATGCTTGACGGTAGTGATTCATTAGCGACACCCACACATTATTCTTGACCGACAGCTCTGATTCAAAGTGCAAACAGCACGGCATGAATGATTCCACCGGAGAGATGAACCACTTAAGCATCATGGAACATGCATGTAACAAGAAGTGGAGGTGTCCTAGTATCAATTGTTTATAGCTCTCATTACTTGAACGATTTCGTTTCATATATAGCACTAGCCTTAGAAATTTCTCCATTTGCTTCTTTGACCCACTTTCAGCTTCCATCAGTGGTGGTGGTTGAGTTTAAAAGTCGATTTGACCACTGCCTATAGATTTGTCCTTTCTAGTCATTATTGACAATTTTTCCTAGAAACACGAGGTAGCCGTCGTTTGGCTTTTTTAGGTTCCCACCGAAACTATTTGCCGTGGATTAAAAGTTTCCAACACGGTAGTGAATCATGTAACTAGTTGACCGATAACTGGTAGATGATGCAAGAGTGGTTATCTTGATATACCAAGATGCCTGTGCTAAGTCGTTCCCAGCTCTTCAGCAGCCACGCAACAAGGTTTCCAATATGACAGTGGAGAGTTTGTTGAAGTTGTTTCCCTGGAACTAGTTTACCGACTAATTCAGAGTCTTACAGTAACCCTAATTTCGTTCTTTATTAACCTGTGCGAAGTGAACAATGCCATCTTCAGTTAGTCCATTCTAGCCTTTATTAACACGGCCTTCGTCATCTACACCTGTTCGCACTTTTGCTCCTAGTGATAAACACATATCGACTACTAATTAATTCAGTTCTAACCATCTTTTTACCTGCGCTGTTCATTTGTCAGCTGTCTCTACTACGGCAGGTGTCTTGGGGATCGAACATGCTACTACCCTTTCAGGGAGCTAACGCGTTCACCACCACACCATGCGCGTCCTTCGTTGAAACATTTTATCTTTTCTCTTCTTTTCATGTTTTTTTAGTTTTCCGATTCTATGATTGTTCTTCTAGGCATAGCTGCACCAGATGGCCAATGTAGACTACCTAACGGGCAAATTTTAGAGAAGGCAATTAGGTTCGTGCTGCTCACTCGGTTTTTTTCAGTTTTTTTGTAATTATTGCGGGAGCTCTTAAAAATTTCTATTCATTCTAAACTGAATTTCGATTTCATCGAAAAAGCTTTCTAGTTTTAGGAAAGAAATACGTATGATGACAGACGATGAGCGTCAACGATACTACTCAGCAATTCGAATGATGAAGCAGGTCAGTGCTTCATATAAAAAAATCTTAGTGTACCAAAGTTTGCTTGGAATCAGCAGCGCCACAAATTGACGCTCTTCCATCGAGTGCATATCTTCGATGGCTCGACCCCGGGCTGCAGTAAGCCGGTCAGTCAGCTGTATTGCCTGTGAAAAATGGTGCTAACCTGATAAATGATTTTATTTAAAAAGGTGAAAAAGAATAACTCTAATCTGTTGAATATCACTTGTGCCAAAAAGTTCACCTAGGGGTAAGCTATAGTCGCGTATGGCACAGCGGTCAGAGGCGCCCTGCAACATACACTTGGAATCGATCCCTGCGCTCGTGGCCCACCGAACCTTCCGTCCCTGCGGAGTCGGCAAATTGGTACCAAACTTGTCTCCGAGGATAACAGCACTGGCTCGATACATTGGTAGGCCACCACGTGTCACTCTAAAGGCCGGATACACAATTAATCACCTTCAAACGGTGCTCAATGAAGTCGAATGCATGGTGCATCCCTCAGGGAATGACCAACGCCGAGATCCTTTATCCTTTTCTATTTTTACAGGTAAACTTCAGCTTCAGTGCTTTCGTGAATCCAAATGTTAACAACCAGAACCATGGTGTTTTTGTGAAAACTTCAGTGGTATTGATCAACTATTGTTTAAGATTTCCGCAAATTCGTTCCTTTAAGTGACATTTGCTTAATTTCTCAAAGACTCGTCTTTAACTGTTTCTTTGCTACGAGAAATCTCATAGTAAATCGATGCCTCACTCTTGATATATTACGCCGGACATTTAAGAGTGTTTAAAAAAACCAAAGGCGAAAGAATCCAGCAGCGTAATTCTGTTTTTGTTCTTTTTTCTTCAATAAAAACAAGGTGATAGTAGAGCCATCGCCGTTTCAATTTGTTGACGAAGAAACCATGTTTTATTGTGAACAATCCTTGAAGCAGGTGAAAAAATGGCTCAGAAGGGGCGGGGTCTCCAAGTTCCAAGACAAAAGGGACATAACATAGACGTTCAACAATCAAGTGAGCTGCAGTTGAGGAGACCAAAATGGCAATTATTAAATGGGACACCATGCGGAAACTGAACTAAGAGGTTATTCACGTTTGTGAGCAAAATGTGCTGTCACAGTTCGATAAAAAATGATAAAACTCTTGGAGTTGATCAATTCCTGAGGGATGCGCCATGCATTCGATTCCATTAAACATCGTTTGGAGGTGATTCAATGCATATCTGACCTTTAAAATGACTCGCAGTGGCCTACCGTTGTATCGAGAAAGTGCTGTTATCCTCTTAAACAAGTCTGGCACCAATTTGCTGACCTCGGAGAGATGGAAGGCTTGATGGCCCATGAGCATGGGGTCATCAAGGTCGGTCGTTTCACCATTCCATCCTTCTATCTTACAAAAGCAAACCAGGAAGCAGTTTCGGTTTTACAATCGGCGCTGATCAACGACTGCATGAAAGTTCTTTGACGGTTTCCAGTTATTTTCTTGCTTCCTGTCTAAGAACGTTTCGTTCAGAATGGCGAATATGATCGGGTCGCCAGAATGCATACACGGTCGACGGTGATGGGCGGTGCTCATTCCGGTCCTGCGTTTTTGCCATGGCATCGGGAATACATAAAAAGGTCAGAAGCCATTTTTTATTAGGTATGAAAGTATTTTAGCTAACAAGGAAGAGCTAATGCGATGCTACCGCGCAGCGTACGCCAAAGTCTAAACGGGAGTGGTATGTTCTCATATTCTCACGAGCTGTTGTTGTTGAGCTGAGAGTAGGTTGTTAATCGGGATGGGTGATTTAACCAGCGACCATTCCTCGATGTCTGACGATTCCGTTGACACTTCGCCCTTTTCAGATCCGTTTCTGCTTTCTAAGAAGCGGCGCCACCTGTATTCTGTTCACATGGAACTTTTCGTCTAAAGGACAGTTCGTAGAAGCAGAATAACTTGTTTACTAAAGCCGATATTGATTGAAAGTCCATTTTCCGAAATAATTTTGAAGAGTTCTTATATATCGAAATGAGTTGTGCGTTTTATACATCAACATTAAAGTATAGAACTCTCTCAGTCATCTATCACCGTCTTCACTTTTTATCTTATTGATGCTTGAATGACTTTTTTTTATAAGATTCGTCTTTCACATCTATCCTGCGGATCCCAGTACTTCTCGCATCTGTCATCTACGAAAGCGTTCCTTGTTTTTATGTGTGCCTTCGTCTGCTGCCTGAGGACTTTCCTTCCATCTTGAATATCGTTGTTTGCTGATCGAGTCGATTTTTCCAGGATTCCTGAGATAGCCGAGCTAGAGCGCTCCCACTTCGAGAGAGTGAACTTTTCCTAGACAAGTCCGGTAGCGATTTCCCCTCGAAGGGATAAGAGGCTCGGTCAACCATGAGCGGTGTCGATCGAACCAGTACCGAATGAGCGATTTTAATAGTCGCCAAAAAAAACCCGTCGTTCCTTCCTTTGGTGTTTAACAATTCACTAATTGTTCATCTTTTATAACAGTAACTCCCACGACCGACTTTCTATTAACCTCGGCATTGATCAAGTAATTCTTCGTATTTTTGTTGAGCAAACGCGAGGTGTTATTATTCTTTATTCACGAATGAGCTGACGTTTCGGCGGATTTCGCCTTCCTCAGAGCCGCTTTCTATGAGGTCTCCACTAAGTATGTCACGTAGAGACCAACCGCACAGAAATCGCATGGAAGTGTAATGTGCCTAGGTTTTTTTTTTTAGAAATCGGCTCTGAGGAAGGCGAAATCCTCCGAAACGTCAGCTCATTCGTGAATAAAGAATAATAACACCTCGCGTTTGCTCAACAAAAATACGAAGAATTATTTTATAACAGTGTTCAAATAGCATACGGGTGTTCTCTCACTCAGATGAAAACGAAAACTGCGCTTAAGGAGATGATATCACCGAAAGGTTTACCGATTAAAACCTATGGTACCTGTATGCGATCCGGTCTCAGCTCACCAGGAGAGTTCGTAAGAACAAAATAACTTGTTCGTAGTTGAAAGTCGGCCTTTGTTGATGACATTAAAAGGGTTTACACTAACACCAACTGACCAATAGTTGAAAAAATTGAAAAAACAACTTTTGTATACTTAGTTGTTTTGGGAAACAACTTAGGTGTTTACTTAGCTGTAATGTTATGATGCTTAAAACACTTTAAAGATTTATTTAAAAAAGCATTTTATGAGCATGCTATAGGCTTGAGTTCGCTATTCGCCAAATTGATCCCACTCTGGCGCTTCCTTACTGGGATTCGACTCTTGAGGAAGCACTGGCTCGTCCAGCCGATTCGGTTATGTTCTCGTAGGTTATTTCACCTATATCCTTTTTTTCCATTTACTTTTACGATTGTTCCGAGTTTTCGCTTTCTTTTATATCAAATTTATGGTTTCATTCTTATCTGTATGAAATCATTCAAATTCATTTATTCATCATGTCACAACCGATGTACAGCTTCTAATGAAACCGTAGTTCGAAAATCGCCAAACATGAAAATGGTTAAATTCAAACATGAGTTCTTTCTTTGATGAGCTTACACGAGTTCGATAAACAGTTTTATTCGACTAACGTTTCGACGTTTTCGTCTTCATCAGAGCCGACGATTCGGGTCAATAGTCAGCGGTTCTTGTTCGTCTCGATGTGGCATCCTCGCCTTCTGTGGTCGTCCGTATTGCGTTGTGTCTTCCTCGGCGGACCATCTCTCGAATAAGGCATACTCACTTAGATGCCCTTTTTATGCAGGATGCTGATGGTTGATAGCTGTGATAGTCCGGTGATAGTAACTTGTTTTTCCCGGACAATGAACGTGAATGAACAATGACTGATGATCAAACATGTATGACTAAAGTTATGACGACTTCGAAGAACTTTCTTGGCGTCAGGAATGTGTTTGTTTCAGACAGTCGATCATCACTAATATTTTCCAACCGTCGATCTTCTACATATTTGCTTTTAATCCTTAAGGATTCCGTTGAATGTCTTTCTCGACCTCCTATTATTCAAATGCTCCACACGACTGAACGGACGCCTTAAGCCGGTTTCTTATCCTACTCCACTATCCAAGTAGAATTTGTGGAGATGACAGGTCATTGTTCGGATTAAGGAGCAAAGTTTCCATCATGGTAGAAAGCGAATACACCGATTTTTGATACTTATGAAGTACTAAGAGATGCTCTTCGTAATTTTGTTGAGCAAACGCGAGGTGTTATTATTCTTTGTTCACGATTAAGCTGACGTTTCGGCGGATTTCGCCTTCCTCAGAGCCGCTTCCTATGAGGTTTCCACTAAGTATGTCACGTAGAGACCAACCGCACAGAAATCACGTGGAAGTATAATGAGAGAGATGTAGAGAGAGAGAGAGAGATGCGAGAGATGATGATGACTAAGAGATGACTAAGAGATGCGCTCAAAGTGAAATGAGATGTAGAAGGTAGTGAAGAAATGATAGGTCCTGCAGTTTCAATTCAATGGCTTTTCTGTGCGGAAATTAGATCGCTGTTCCCGAAGTTCCCTTCCAAACATTTAGCAACTGAAATCTATGACAGAGGTTCCTAATCAGTTTCCTTCTGAAAGGGTATTATACCAATCGGGGCACAATTTTTTTTAGAACGGCGCTTTGACTGCTCAGGTCTTTCATTAGTGGGTCCGGGATTGATAATGCGGTCCGTTATCAGTGAGTATATCGCGGACTTCTCCATAATACTCCGAAGGCAGCATTGATCATCTATAAAGGTTTAGCTGTAAAGCATAGATTTTTATGCAATCACTTTTTATTCACTACCTGTTCTTTTTTCATGGCAGGATATTATGCGAAGTATAACTATAATGAAACTGAGATACTTGCACAACTCCGAACCACAGGTGTATGCTGAGGCGATCGAACACGTTATTACCCTTTCCGGAGGAACGCGTTCACCGCCACACCGTGGGAATCCTTCGTTTCATCTTTCTCACAGCTAGTTTTCTGCCTATCAGTACCATCAGCAATTACCAGTCAATGGGATTAAACTGGAGATCGCAAATCGACAGTGAACCCAGTTAAGCCAAAGCTGTATTATAAATCACAATGTAATCACTTTTCACTTACTGCTCGATTCGTGCTCCTCACATCAGTCGTGATGAATGGTGATTGCTGATAGCACCTATAAAATACTAGAATAAAATATAAAAATTATGACAATGCAATAAAAATATTAAAATTATAACAATAAAAAAATTTCGAAAGAAGGACCTGCATAGTGTGATGGCGAACGCGTTGGACCCCAGAAATGGTAATAGCAGGTTCGTTGCCCACTGCATACAGTTGAGGTTCGGAGCTTGAAAAATATCTCAGGGTAATTGTAACTAAATTGCACCGGTTTCAATTTCCTGAGCAGTTGCTAATATCGAGAAGACCTTCTTTTAACGCACAATTTAAAGTTTATGTTTATACCTATGGCATGTATGCAGAATATGTCCTGCGTGATCGAAACGCCATAAATTTTCATTTCTTCCTCTTTTTCGGAACAAGTATTCCCTGCAAATTTTGCAAATGACGAATGAAATGGAAATGCGAAAGAATTTTTCTACTCGCATAAATGTACTTTATCTCAGCCAACTAACTTTATGGGCGAACTGGTTCTTTGAAATGGCCTTTTTAATAGACTTGCTTTATTCCTTGCAATCCGATTACTGAATTACGGTATCGAGAGAGAACCATATTCCCAAATATGGGTGCTTAAATTTGGATTTGGTCAATGCTGCCTTCCCCACCTGAAAATCTTTCTTAATTAGTGGGTAATTCGAGTGAAGGCTAGCAAATTCTCCATTCGTTTCCATAGCACGCCAGCTTTTGGCACGATACCCTTTGTCTTCACTGCTCAGTAAAGTAAGCATTGACCCACTAGTAAGCGCTACTGTGACATTTGTTTATTCGTAGCATAGCCTCCGGTTAGAAATGTTGAACTCCTCTATAGCAGGAGTAACTCTGATAATGGGATAAAGGAGAGATGCCAAGGCATGAAGGCACATATCAGAGCCACGATGAGAGGGTAAAAAGGATAACAGGATAAAATGGAAGATTTACTGGCTCCCGCTCCAGTCACTCGACGATGAACAGGACGATAGGTTATACAGGTAATGCTAGAAGACAACCACGGTGTACAGGACATCAAAATGCGACTACCTGTGCCTCTCTTCGATGCAAGTAAGACTACATGGATGCTCAACTGAGAAAGTACGAGTCGAAGGAATTCTACTCAGTTCTGCATTTGGAAGATCACCTTTACTCGCCAATAATGGGCTCTGAAGAAGGAGGAACCTCTGAAACGTCAGGCAGCGCTGTACTGAATAAATCTTACTGCTGACAACTTCGTGTTTGCTTATCAAGGAAGCAGTATATTATTGAATTGCAGTGTCTACCTCTGCCGAGTTTTATAGTGGGGCCGAGTCTCTGTTGATAATAGACCCTTCACTATTGTTTTCGCAATTACTTACCTCATTGATGGCTCTGAATAAAGCGATCAATGGCATTGCATCAGATACTTGAAAATGGTCATCAACGTTGGCCTTCAGCACTATAACTTAACAGAAGATAGCGAAAACCGTTTTAAAGTCTTCCTCCATATTCGTGGTATAAATTCGATACTCTCAACAGCAGATGATGTGTTGATCATCTTCCATTGATTTTGGCGCTGTTACTAGGTAACTAGGTAAATGGTGTCGTCCCGAGGTGCTAAAAATGGAGATGACATCTCGGATGAAGTTGAGCTGACTGTGCACATCTAGGAATTTAGCGCTTTTCTGGGTTTATTCAAAACTTTTAGAATTTAGAATAGCCACCAGATGTTATTGAAGGTTTTTGTAATTTTTTTTTGTTATTGAAAGTTGTAATCACAATCAAGTTTTCATACTCACTCATTATGTCTAGCAACCAATACTATCCTTAGCGATAATGGGTAGAAAGACTCAGAGAACACAAGCCATTACAGTTTCCAATACTATTACTGCCTTCCTCTTCTACCAATCTTTCATATTATATCGGGACATTTTTTTATTAATAATTTCGTAAACAGATAGTCTAGTATTGCAATGGTTCCAAAATTGGAGTCAGGACGCCATTTTTCTCCACATCGATTTCAACGTTCCTAGTTTTGACCTGTTGAGCTGTAGATGGATTTCAACCTCTATTAATGAGATTTCACAAAATAGCACTAAATAATTACATTTGCAAAACTCCGGACTGCAGGTGTCTAAGTTAGGGAACGAACGCGCTATTGTCGTTTCCGGTGAGTAATACGTTCACCACCACACCATGCAGGTCCCTTGTTCAGCCTGTCTCTCAGCTAGTTCTATCGATCAGAGCCATCAGCAATCACTCGTCAACGGCATTGATCTAAGGAGCCCACATCGACATTCAACGCAGTTAAGCAGAGAGATAGGCGAAACGAAGGACCCGCATGATGCGATGATGAACGCGTTAACTCCCGGAAAGGGTAACAGCGCGTTCGTTTCCCAACTTAGACACCTGCGGTGCAGAGTTTTGCAAATATCTCAGCAATGTTGTGGTTGTATTTCGCTTAATACGCCACCGTAAAAACTGTAGTAGGTAGAAAATAAAAAGTAAAACTAAATAATGAATTTACACAAACGAGATAGTTATTGATGATTGTCGTTACAGATCAGATATAGGAGGCAGTACGAACAGGCAAGGATTCGTGAACAGCGGACCGTTCACGCAGTGGCAAACTCTTGAGGTAGACAATAGCCCACTAAAACGGTTTTTCTTTGAAAGAATTAATCGAAGACAATAATTAGAAAAGGGCACGTGAGTATATTGCAACATGCAAACAAAAAAATGAAGAAGCCGACGCAGTTGAACGATCCCTGAGGGATGAACCAAGACTTCAAGTACCGTTAGAGGTGATTGAATGCATATCTGACCCCAAGAATGATATGCGATGGCCTACCGATGCATCACGTCAATGGTACTATCATCCCACACAAATGTGGCACCAATCTATCGACCAGGGAGGATGGAAGGTTTCTTGAGCCCGGCGCACGCAATCGAACCAACGAGCACGTTTATATTGCGGAGCATATCTAACCATTAGACTACACAAGTACTGCAGCGTTCATATGGTTACTGGTTTGGGCCGCTTCCCAGGTTAACCAACTTCTTAACCCCGGGAGTCGGCAAATTGGTGCCGGCCTTATCAGCGAGGATAAGAAACACTTAGTATATCAGTCTGGAGCAGACTTTGGCCAGGCTGTCCTCGGAATTCCAGAGAACCGCAATGGCTTAACCAGCAAATCTCCGAAAAACGGTGATTATGCTGGGGGCCGCACAACCAATGAGGACGGGCCGGAAAGTATCAAGTATCAGGTAAGTAGTATATCAGTTGATCCCTCAAATAATAGAATAGGCCAAATATGCGCCCAGACACCCTTACAATATTACAAGTTGATTGAATGCATGACGTATCCCTAAAGTAGTTATCAACGTTAGAAGCTTTGTCATCTATTAATTTCCCATTTAGTGCTGTCAAACTCAGAGCAGAACTTTTCAGGGGAAGCCAAACATTAAACGAGAAGTTGGTGCTAAAGGTGGTCCGATGAAGCAGGAAGAAATTGATTTTGTAATGAGACAGAGTGAAGTCGATCAAGTGCTCGCTTTTTCTTCTCCAAGAAGGGTATAGCATTTCAAATACATTTATTGTTCCACGCACTTTCCTCTAATTCGTTCGGTTTTAAACACTCGCTCAAGCCAGTGCTCAACAAATTCATGATATGTGAACGACGTTGCTTAATTTCAGTGATGCTGAGATATTTGCAAACTCCGAACCGCAGGTGTCTGAGGTGGGGAACGAACGCGCTATTGTCCTTCACGGGGAGTAATGCGTTCACCACCACACCATGCGGGTCATTCGTTTCGCCTGCCTCTCAGCTAGTTCTATCGATCTTCTGCCATCGGCAATCACCCGTCTGGGATTTAATTGGATTCGCTGCCGATTTGGGCTCCCCAGATCAATCCCGCTTGCGGGTGATTGCTGATGGCAGAAGATCGAGAGAACTAGCTGAGAGATAGACGAAACAAATGTGATGCAGACGATTCGCTTTACTTCCAAGAATACAAGCGTCATGTGTTGTAAAAATGAATTGCAGGGATGCCCTTATCGAACCGATTACAACTGCTTGGAGTACACTCACGGCAACGTGCACATTTTTGTCGGTGGTGATATGTTCGATACATCCACATCAGCAAACGACCCGTTGTTCTTCCTGCATCATGCGTTCGTCGACTTAATCTGGGAACAATGGAGACAACGACGACAGGTTAGTGGATTTCTTTCGTCCTATGCCATCAATGCTTATTGACTTGACGAGTTGATATAGTCAATATTGTGAACTTAGAAGAGCTAAGAACATACTGGGTTTATAGCAAAAGTCTTCCATTTCGTTCTAACGGATTATATCAATTTTATAACGTTTATTTTCGATTTTGAATTTGTTTCACGTTTGGACTTTAAAAGCTCTTTTAGATTTTAAAGAGCTTTGAAATAATTCTAACTCAAATACAACAAGAGCTTACATTTGCAACGCATTCGCTGACAACGTCTGGCCAAAGTCAACCCCAGGTCGTCACCACCACAGGCAGTCGCAGCCCTTGCGGATCAGAGGAGGAATTGCCACCATGCGACTAATTTGATACCAGGACGGTGGTGGATCCTGGTATTGGTTTACTCTTAGCTAGGCTTCGTGATAGAAACGCCGGACAAATTCTCAGCTTGGAAGGCCCTGTCAAGGAGATGAATGCCTCTGCTGTAAATCGCAGCCCGACACCCAAGAACACCTCCCAGCCGCAATGGGGCCGAAAACCGTTGGGGGGATTGGTTCTTGTTATAATTAATAAAACCCACTATGAGTAGAGATGTGCTTCTTTATAGCTGGAAGACTAAATTACTATTGACCCAAGCGTGAGCCTCTCACGGCTCATATCAATGGGAATGTTAAGAATTGCTGATAACATTTTACATAATCCATATTTATCGGTTTTTAGGACAAAAAAGAACTCGGTTTAATGTAGACTTGTGTGAAAAGTTACACAGATTAGTATCTACTGTTACCCATTATTTTTGACAAACTATCGGAATTCGCAAGCTCTCCAAGGTCAGAACGAATCAAGAACAAATGATTCGTGTTGGGAAAAGGTCAAACCAGAAACTCTTCCTTACTTAAAACTTGTACTTAAATGGATTATCTTTACGAAGAATTTATTTGCAATTTGCTAGTCTAGCAAGATTTTCTCTCCCTCATATCCAAGGAACCCGTACTGAAGCTTTCCTAGTCGTCACCACACGCAGTCGTCAGCCGTAATGGATCGGAGGAAGATTTACAACCTTACGCCTAGGTTACAACTAGGACGGAGGTAATTCTTGCCATTGGTTCACTCCTATCCGTTCTTATAGATGTTGGTGTCGAGATTGCAAGATCGTACTGGATATGCTGTGATCCTTCGCTCTTTGTCATAGAAGGATATTTGGAAGTATATTCTTGCTACAATAAAGCAATAAACAAGCGGCCATAAACGGAGAGCCAGCAATAAAGAGGAAGGCAGAAACGATACCAATATTGAGAAGAGGCTATGAGAAACCATCATTACCTACATTTATGAGTTGTTTTTCTTGATTTTCTCACATTAAGTAACTGTATTAATATTTTTTGCTTTTAAATATTATCCTGTTCCAAAGTGCTCAAACCTGGATAGCTTTCACAATAATGGTTCGACCATGTATGCTATATTTTTAGAGTCGAGCCGAACGAGAAAGAGTTTATCCTCCGGATAACCAGTTATGCGCAAGCCCCCAACATTTCGCTGCTGCTCAAATGAATCCATTTCCACCAATGAGGCAAGTTGGTAAACTTTTATAGCATAAAGGAACAGGTTTCAATCGACTTCGACTAAAGCCGACAAGTGGTGATAACGTACTGACCTTTCATCAGCTAAGTCGCATACTATTGCAAAGAATATTTTCGCCACTACTAAGAGCTAGAGAAGAACTCGTTCAGTCCTTTTTAATAGGATATAAAACATCTGCACAGTTCGATAGTGCTTCTTATTGGTGTTAATTCGTTAGATATTCTCCATCGGTTCTGAGGTATTAACTGGACTGCAATGTTTTCATGTTACAAACGTAGTGGATATCTTTGACAAGCACTTCTACCGTATAAGTGACAGAAAATCTTGCCGATGACGCCCTTAATGGGGCTTTGGTTTCCTTAAGAGGGTCCAAAATCCTTGATAACAATGGCAACTTTCCCTATCCAACTTGTCTAATTTCTGCTTTTTGATCACATTTCTAAACTTGTGAACTCTTTCTGACCAGTATGTGACAAAAGTGAGGCCAACAAGAACTGATAAAGTGGGTTATCATTTTTCACCTATCACTCGGCAGAAGAGGGTTGTGAAAACAAAATAAATACTAGAAATTTGAAGCAAGAACATCCAGAAGGCACGAAAATGTTTGACATCGAACCAAATCGATGATCAGGTCAAAATTCTCCACTTACAATTTTTTATGACAAAATAGCTCCTATCAGATTTAGTCGATTATTGTGTCTTTTTAGGAACATTGACGGTTTGTCAAACAAGTACACCGACAATCTTTACGAGTACGCGCCACGTCCAACCTGCAGTGAAGCTTATCCGGACTGCGGATCAAAGTATTAGATTGATTTTAACATGAAACAGAAAAAATACATTGAACACTTTGAAGAAGCTGCTGCAGAATTTGCTTGCTTGTCGGAAATTCTAGCAAAATCTTACAGTTTTATTGACCTTACTTCTTCGCTAATCAAAGCGCCTAAATTTATAACGAACTCTTCACACATTTGCAATTTCTGCTGACTGTGGTGCACTGATAACACATTTTCTCGGTGCCATGGTATGAGCGGACGAGTTTCTCCGTAGCAAAACTCGTCTGCATAACACTGACATGCAGAACATTTGTTAATTGTTCATTGGTCAGATAATAATCTTAACTTTTCAAATAGATGAATATTGTTAAAAATGATCGCTTGAGGTATTTGTTTTGCGACCAATCCCACGGTCAAGCAAGATGTGCGGCAAAAATCCGCCTAGGAGCGGCATGTGATGGATACGTTAGAGGCGAGAATCCGTGTTTCAACGGCGCTTGTGTTGCGGGTAGATGCACGGTTTCGGTAAGCTCTAAAGACTATGGGAACCTCGTTTCCGATCGCTTGTGCACGCGACAACACGTCGTCGCGTGTGATGAGTATCGGGTATCGATTGGCGATCGGCGGCGGTCAATATGTATGTTATGTATTGCATCTCATTGTTACTGTTTCCTTAAGTTTTCTACTATACGAGGCCTAGAAAAAAAGATTGTTTTCCGCTTCGTCAAGAAGATAGAGCTCACATAATGTCATCAATGATCTAGGCTACTTTTTATTAGACACAAACTTTGCAATACCTGAACTTCTAGTAACCCAAGTAATTGAATCCTCGAGAATATTTTCTGCTGGTGAATCTTTACGAAGGCTATTCACTTGTTGTAATGATTTTCTTTCCATTCCATTCGGCCGTTTCCAATTTCCTAAGTGGTGGTGAAAAAGAACTTCACGTTCGAAGGGTTTCTTAACCCCCGTTTCACACTCCAAAATCCTATGAATTTTTCGTGTAAAAATATTTATTCGTACAATCCCATTGTCTTTTCTCTTTAATATCTTACTTGTTGGATGTTACATAAAAAGTTTTCCACCTTTGTCTTACTACATTCTTTTAAATTCTTGTGCTACTATTTTAGCCTACCACTAATTTCCTTTATTTCACGTGACATTGGAGACGTAAAGCTCCAGTATTATCCTAATGGGACAATTTTTTCCATTTTTAGACTGTACCAACGTGGACAACCACCGCCCCAGTTATCAACATCAGAAACGACTCGGTTACCGTTGCTCCACAGGTTCAAATCATTTTTCTTCGACGTTCAGTTCCTTTTCAAACTAGGTTTCCCCACAGAAAATAAATATTTAGCTTGTTCATATTCAAAGACTATCTTCTTGTGTAGATCTACCAGTGGTAATCGTCCCATCGGCTATTTACTCTATAGTCCGAAAAATACCGTAATTACCCCTAGCTTAAAGGGGTGCGTGTAGCGCAGTGGTTAGAGGTGCTTTGCAAGATATATGGTTTCGATCCCGTACTTCAGACTCACCAAGTCTTCTGTCTGGTGTCTGCGGGAATAGCAACGCTGACTATGGTAGGCCACCACTAGTCAATCTGTAGGGCAGATATGCACCCATTCTTCTCTGAGGATGCTTGATGAAGTCGGATGTATGGCCCATCCCTCGAGGAATGATCAACGACGAGAGTACGAAAATATTCACCATGTACTGCTAGGAAGGGAATAGCGTACAAAAGCTTAAGCACGAAGTAATGAGGATTTCTGTATGTTGTTAGTGGTGGTGGTTAGTTCGGATCCAACCTCAACTAAGCAACTCGTCCACCTCTCCATCGTCTGCAAATTGGTCCCGAAATTGTCTAAAAGGAAAAAAACGCCGATTTGTTACATTTTTATATCTAAGCGAGTCACTCAAAGAGATATGATCTCATTCTGCCTTACGATGCAACCAATGAGGTCGAGTGCATCGCTAGATGTTCGGTAGACGCTAGACACTTTATTCTATATCTTTTATATCGTTAGTGAACCAAGCTTTAAGAAAAAATTAACTCAAGCATTTTGGTTATCACATGAACGTTCGTTTGGTTTCTGCACTGAGTATTAAAGAAAATGGCGAAATGGACCAAAGATGTCATGCGATTCAGGGGGAGGGGTGTAGTCTCTCTGGATATCCAGCTAGATTCTACGCGATGTCACTGAATTAACAGACTTGGTAACCAACCGTAGCATGGTAGATTTTTAGCTCTCTGTATTCCTTAAACAGAACACTGTGAATTACTATGACATATGACAAAAACAAATAAAGATATCTTTCTACTTCTGTTCAGCAAACACGAGGTGCTATTTTATTTCTTTATTTACGCACAAGCTGACGTTTCGGCAGATTTCGCCTTCCTCAGAGCCTGGAAGGGTCAAGTTGACAGCAATCCATTCGGCCAAACACCTCCATAACCAAACAGAGAAAACACTAAACCAAGATTTCAATCACATTAGCATAGCTCTGCACACTCACCGCTTTCTATGAGTCTTCCACTGAGTACGTCGCGTAAAGACCGACCGCACCAAATTCACATGGAAGCGTAATGTGCTCCTCCTATCAGAATAACAGGTTTATATACTGTCCGATATCGCGCGTGATAACGAGGCATTCCTCCCTGCGGTTCATTTTCGGATTCTTGGAATTAATCCAGAATGCCTCTAGAGTTTTGCGCGCTTGTGTTCTCGATTCTTGCGCGAGGATCATAACCCTTACTTCAAAATCTTCTCCGTTATGTTTCTGCGTGCTATGCGTACCTAGTGGAGTATTTAGCTTACGTTTGCCGACTAGGTGTTCTTTTATACGTACGCAGAGTGGTCTACCCGTTTCGCCAACGTATTCGTCCCCGCACGCTTTACAAGAGATCAGATAGACTGTACCCGAACTCATGCAGTCACCGTCTCTACCATTGGGGCAAATTATGCAATTTTGCGCTGCACATAGACGGTCGTATAAGCGGTTACGAACTAGCTGGCGCCTTAGATTACTCGGTGGTATTTCGCTTATTGTTAATGCATTCGAACAAGTAAAAACAGAAAAAAAAGAAAAAAGAACAGAAGTAGAAAGATATATTCAATTGATGGCGAGGTTAATAGAAAGTCGGACTTGGGAGTTACTACAAATAAAGATGTCGCTAACGCTGCTTGTTCCAGGGTAACAAGATGTTGCAGATAGTAAGGTAACGTCATACATTATTGCGCAACAGCACGTGAATCAGCGAATGATTTAAGTGGATTTCGTACAATCCTACTCGCTTCTAGTGTGTATCATAGCGGTCTAGTGGGCTCGGAGGACGCGAAAAGCTTCAGAATTTCGGCATAGTGCTCTCTTTTTACTGTTTTCAGTGATACAGGTCGCTATGGGTAGCTCGCCGAGCTACCTTACGCTTTGACCGAACTTGCCGACGTAAATGTAGAGGCTATTCTTAGCCGGAGTTCTTCTGCTGGGAGGATGACCTCATGTTGTATGTAGCAATTTGACATCCAGGAACTCGACCTTGTCATGAAGAGACGCTAGACTACTGGTCGAGCAGAATCGAATTTCTTAGAATAATGCTTTTTGGAACAAAAAAATATTGAGCAGTACTGTTCACGTCATCTTCAATTATTCATTATGTAAATAACAGCTAGAGATGAACTAGACAAAACCCATTTTTTCCGACTTGTCTAGGTTCAAGCATACTCTCAAAATCGTGATGAACCACCAAAGGAGTTCTAAAATATAAGCGAAAGGTGCATGAGTAGGGCCTTTGTAGGCACTTTTTCAGATGGCATAGTAATAAGGGACCAACTCACTCGTGCTATCAATAACTCAGCTCGAAACAAAAGAAGAAAAAAACATAGTGATGCAAAATAGAGCAAAGAGTATTGTCATTTCAGGAAACGTGCTTCAACGAGAATGAATGCTGTACGCTTTGGGCGGAAAGGGGTGAATGTACGGTGAACGCCCCCTACATGAGCTTTTGGTGCAAAGCCAGCTGCAGACAATGTACACCACAGTATCCATTGATAGACGGTTAGTTTGGCACATGGAAAACGATTCGTGTTTTGAAGAGAATCCCAACATTTAAGGATATTATTGAATGTTGTCAAGATACTCACAACTGATACATAAATCATACAAGGGCATGGGTAGTGCAACGTTTAGAGGTACCTTTCGATGCACGCGGTCGTTAACTCTGTCCAACACCCAAGCCAAACCAAGCCTGCCATTTCTCTAGAATTTCTATGGGCCTAGTCTCTGGAAATTAAGAACACTGACTTGGTACATGGGCAGTCAATGTATGCTATTCTCTCGATCCATTATACCGGTCACCTCAGAGATACCTAAGAGAGTTGAATGTATTGCGCATCTATAAGGTGTCAACGTGCAACTCTAATTACAAGTTTTCCCAATAAAGCATGTTTTTTGAACTTTTTGATTCATTTTTCCTTATGTTTAACATTAGTTGTTAGTGTCTCAACAAGAAAAGCGGCATAGTAGAGATCTTTTGGTATATCGCTGTGGATTATCGGTTTTGGAGGCCCGTTGGCAAAAATTTAGGATTGCGACCTTTAAACCGGAAACTTTGATAACTATAATCTCTTAGATTGTTCTGATCGTCACCACAATTGCGGGCAATGGGCTCGAAGTGGCGAATGCACGATAAACTCGCTTTGGATGTCGGAAAACTGTAGAAGGTCATGTGGAAGGTGCCATCAAACTAGGTATCAAGCGTGCCGTAAACATTGTGGTGCTTCTTGTATTCATCGCGATGATGGAGACCTTAGAGAGAAAGAAGTTAAGTATGACTTTAAATAATCGCTTTAACAATTTTCATTAAATTCACACGTTAACGAAAGGAATCGTGTAATAATTGATGAGCTCTCAAAAACATTTATATATTGTGCATACAAATGGGGCTTAAATCATGCAACGCCTCCCCTCCACCAATCACAATGGTTCTATTCTAAGCTATCCAACTAAATTTCCTATCACTCTGGGCTTGTCAAACTGGTACCAGCCTTATTTGGATCACTACGTCCGATCCATAAGGGTTGGCGTCGAGTACTTGTGGTGGAGATCTGGGAAGGCTGTAGTAGAGCTATCCCAGGATTCAACGAAGAATTAGATCGACCGGTCGACCACCGTTTAGCAACATTTATGAAGCCGAATTCCTCAGGTGGCAGGCCGAACGCACACGAAAATCCCAAGACATTAATGGATGGTTAACGACGAATCGAATGAAAGAGGTGCTAGGATCCTCATAATATGTGAAGTCAAGAATATTAATGAAATAAATAAAATTGTACCAGGTGCCTTGTTTAGCGGTATTGACCAATAATACTACGGGTAAGTGATTTTCACCGAAAAAAACTTTTTGATGGATATGAGCGAGCAAGTCGATCAGCTTCTGATTGCGTTTTCAGAACCGACTACTACACAGAAACCGAACGAGGTGTGTAATACTACGAAGGAATGCTACAATGAGAACATTTGCTGTCCGCATTGGAGCCTCCAGGGCGAATGCACCAAGCTACAGACGTGGATGGCATGTAACTGTCGTGTATCATGCGGATATTGCGTACCACAGAACTACAACTATGGATGTAGGAGATTATCAGCATTAGTTTTATTCTATTTCCTTTAATTCATATGTTTTGTTACAGAAAAAGAACAAATGCGACCGAAAGAACTGCGAGAAGTATAGAGAAAAACTAAGATATTCTTGCATTTTGTTGTTGAGATCCCACTCACTATGTGCAAGACCCTCTATCCGGTTCTCTCGCGAAATCTCCTCTCCTTTCACAGTCGTGAAATCGGTACCAGATTTGTCCCAGAAGCCCCTCCGCTCCCCAAAAGCTGGAGAGTGGTTGCGGTTTAGATCGGGGAACGCCTAGCAAAGCTATCCCATGTAGAATCTACAGGACCTGAAATCAACGGAATTCGTGAAAATCGAGATCAACCACCAGTGTCTGCTCCCAAATGCAAAACTGGAAGATCCTCGTGAGTCATGTATGCGAAAAAAGATGAAATAAATGAACTAAGTGCTGTTATTCGCGCAATATGTGGTGTATAGTCGTCAGAAAAGAACGGTGGATCGTCCTAGCATAGAAATTCAGGTTAACGCCAGGTTCTGTTATGCTTAATGTCGAAGATTTTCGACATGGTATGGTCATTTCCACTATTCAGCCTGAAGCAAATTAATCCATATCCTACAGAAAGAAAGTCCGATTGCTGAACTGACCAAATCGAGTGAACCAAAGCTGTTGTTAGCTTTCATTATAAAAATATCGCGAAGTTTTTTGCAGATATTTCCATCATTGACTTATAAGTGTCGATGTTATGACCACTGGACTCTTTTCTCAAGCCTTTGGTGGTATTCCGTAGTAGGCTTTTAACCTCGCATTGAGTATGCGGTATTGTTCACAGGAAAGCTTCTCGGAAGTGAGGTATAGCTTCCCGATTCTAACTTCAGTGTAGCGGAATGTTGAAACGTAGTAAAGCATGACTTCCTCAAGCAACAAAATCGCTTAAGCACTGTTTTCTTGTTCTCATCGAGGGACCTTTACCATTCCTAGAATTCGATAAATCATCCGTAGCCGGTTAATTAATTACTTTAGCCGTCTCGACCAGAGCCGAAGTAACGTTCTTCAGGTGCCCTTGTCACCTGTTTTGAAATAGCCATTTTTAATTCCACAACATTTATGACTACTAAAAATCTACACATGCTCTAACGCTAGTTTTATATGAGACACCTCTTAACAGTACTGGAATAATGTAAGCTTTCTTTTAAAACTCATGCAATCAGGTGACCTTTGGGTGTCACACATCACACAACGGCTTGTTTAAGTTTTAAATCTAACCTTCTTTTCTCACGATGAATTTTTTTAAAGTTTCAGATAACCCAAATCACGACTACTGTGCGAATCCTAGCAATTTTCGCATTCGATTCGTTCCTCTTGCTTCCATAGTCCACGAAGTCTTCGAATATTTCGCGTGTTGTTTCTGCTCCTGCTTGAGGATTTTAGCTACTTTGATTCTCCTTGCAATCTCGAAGATATGCGAGCTAGCGCGTGCTCACGTGGATTGGGAAGTGTTGGGAGCGGTTCGAACCAGTACCTTACTTTCTGATGGACTGCATAATTTACTTTTTTTATATGACCAGTCTTCACGCCTACTGTCCAGATCCCAGTACTTCTCAGATTCGATTCGTTTCCTCCCATCTGTTGTCCATGAAGATCTTCCCACTTTTTACGTGTGGCTTCGGTTGCTGCCTGAGGATTTTCATTTCATCTTGATCGAATGCTAGTCAAGCAGTTCTCCTAGGAACCCCGAGATAGCTGGGCTGGAGCGTTCCCAGTTGGATTGGGCTGATTGTTGGGGAGCGATTCGAGCCAGTACCTTGATTCTTGATGCACTGCATCATTTACTAGAATCTACAAATTTTTGCCTGCAACACGGATGTTACCTTTCTTCCAAGGTGGAATTCTGATTTTCTGGAACACATAACATACATTTCTACCATTTATTGCCTCAAAGCTAATATTTTATACAAGAAGGCAGACTAACAAGCGGAATTTCTTCCTTCATGACATGGTGGTATTCCCAATTTTTCGCTTATGCTTTCAGTTTCCACTCTTCTGTTTGGATTTTTGAACAGCCAAACTTCGTTAGGTTTTTTTTTCCAGATTTTTACTATAAGCGTAACAAAAACTGAATGCACACTGTATAAAAACTAGAAAACAAGATCTTCTCTAGAAGTTTTTAATGTTTTGAATTCTGACACATTCCATCCCAGGGCAGACTTCGTCCAGGCTGACCTCGGGATTCCAAGAAACCACAATGACTCAAAAATGGAAAAAATGAGAAATGGAGATTGTGCTGGAACCAGCACAACTAGTGAAGACGGGCCGTCCAAGTATACAAATGTCCAAGACACATTTTATTGATCGAGAAACTATCGTCATTTACCTAAAAGCCAGCTTCGTCACCATAGAATTGACCACTGAGAATGGACACAACGTATCAAGAAAACCTATAGTTAACTATATGAAGATTTGAAAGAAAGAGATCTAAATAAAACGTTCATGAGAAAATCCACTGCATCCTTTGATTTTTAGATGAGAAGCTATACCACTTCCAACTAGCAATTTTCAATTGAACATCGCCGAATCGCGCTAAAATTGTTGTGATATCACCAATTCTTTGCAGCTTGTCTCGATTACCATCCAGAGTGTCAAGGATGGGCTCGACTTGGAGAATGTGAAAGGAATCCGTGGATGCTGGAGAACTGCCGATTTTCATGCCAATCGTGCTATTCACATTGGAATCTCAGAGAAATATGTGGTGTACCAGCAGGTAAGATTAGTGCTCTTCGAAGTTATTGCATGTTTTTCATTGTGCAACACATAATTTAAGAGCCATAACTCGATTTTTAACTGATGACATTATGCCTATTTATGAAATTTCTCCCCAATGACCTACCGTCTCACCGTGGCGAAAGTTTTAGGTGTCGAAATCCGACATACTGTACAACATTGATCCGACGGCATGGTTATCTAAACTAAAGTGTAACATTTATATTTGGAAGCCTAGTTCTTAGTAGAGGAGATGCAGTTAATCAATATTTTAGGGATGAAGCATGGATTCAACTCCATCAAAGAAAGATTTGGGTGGAGCGTCCCTATGTATTAAGTTATTGAGTCAGTGTTTTTCACCTTCCCAAACAAGTCATGTGCGAATTTTCCAGCTGACGGAGCGCTAGTTAGCCGAGGGCGCATTACCTGACCAAAAACCACGGGTGTATTGCAGCACACTGAGAACCAGTGCGCCGAATGCGCCACCGCTAGGAACAAACCCACCAGGAATGGCATAGAACGAACTTTATCGTAGGGAAAAAGATCTTCCTTCGACCCAGTCGATGGTTAGCAGTGATGACTACTCAGGAACACACTGCCTTCCTTTAGAAGCAAGGGATAAATGCTACCTAACTACTGAAGTCCCCTGCGAATGGGGGTTTTCCTGTGATCCGTATGCAAATGCGGATCACTGGTGTATGAAGTGTATTTCATCAAATAATGAGAACAGGGAATTCAAACTGGTGTAAACTTCTCAATCCACCTTTTGCCGTACAACTCTATTTCCTAGTCTTCAGTACTTCTAGTTCGGAATTTCCAGAGGCTCTGAGTAACATTTCGTACATTTGAGTTCAAATCATATGCTGATGTAACTATATAATCAAACTTAAATAGGGTTAAAATGATCCCTAGGCCAGTAAAGGTATTAAAGGTATCACATTTAAAAAAATAAACATCTCACTAAAAACGACACAAACTTCATTTTTGTCATCCATTTTCTTCTTTTCTAAATTCATTTCTAAATACAACGAGAAACAACAGATCACTAAAGTGATAAAATTCAGGTCGTATTTCTCGGCCGCAGCGTCCCCAACCTTTCCAGCCTTCCCAGCCTTTCCAGCCTCCTCGTCGTCCAATAAATCGTCCGTTAGCATTTTGGCAACAAGGCTCTTGGGGAGAACTTGGAGTGGACCATGATAACTGGCCAAGTCGTGGTGGTGGGTTAATGGAATGGGGTGATGGCGGAGGTGGACGCGGCCGATGGGCAGTACAAACATCACAACCATTCTCAGTACTACTACCATTTCAACCGCCACCACATCCGTCAGTCATTTTACCGATCGCATGGGGTTGGAACTGACATTTATAACTGAGCATTGTAGAAAAGTCACCAGGCGTTCTACACATTTTTAAGGCTTCTTTTAAAAAAAAACGGTGTTTTCGCTCGGTTCGACAGCAATTTACATAGGTTTTATTGAATGTTTTCATATTCGTACAAATCACTTTCATCAGTTGCCCACGATTCCTAGGTGTCGTTTGTGAAAGCTCATTCCAAGCTAAACTCTGGATTCTATTCCAGATTCTTTAGACCCAGATTTCAGCTACTTGTCCGTGAGCATTGTAAAGCTAATACTTATCGCTGCCTGTGATTTTGCTTTTTTTCCTCTTGTTATTCACTTCGGTTTGGAAATGTACACAATATTGATCGACCAGTAAACGATTAGAGTACAACAGTGTTCTTTCCTACGTCAAGAAAAAGCGAACAGAGAACTGCAAAGCACAGCCTCGAGTTCTTTCTTTTCTTCAAGGTTCAAGGTTATTTTCATAATACAAGGTTCCATGTCACATCTCGCTCTTGGATATGCCACATAACATAGTGTTCTCTATGTTAGTATATTGGAGAGAACACCTTTTCGATGCCCGAAACATGAGACGGCGTCTAATATTCGCAACATGCGCCACGAATTGAAATAGATTCACACCGTCGGAGGAATATTTCAAGTATTCCAAAAGGACCATTGTTACTCCCATTTCTCAGTATCACTCTTTAGTGTTATTTAATTCATATAGTCAACGATAATTCGTCCTAGGACTCCAGTGTTTCCGAAACAGAGAAAATCTGATACCTCCTTCATCAGCAGAAACCCTTCCAGAAATTCTGGCTGTTGCCACGAAACGAACCAACACATTAGGAGGATATTTTTGTAAGTTATAATGATCAGAAAACAAATCTTTCCAGCTAGAACAAGAATTCTGTTGGGAAGCTATCCACTGGATAAACGATAAAGCTAACGGCGTTGATCAATCCCTGAGTGATGTGTCATGCATTCAACTCCATAAAGCATCGTTTGGAGATAACTGGATGCATATCTGACCTTCCCAATGGCTCGCAGGTGGCCTACCGATTTATCGAATCAGTGATTCTATCCTACCAAAGAAGTCCGGCACCAATTTACCCAACCCCGGAGGCACGGAAAACTTGGTGGGCCAGGGAAGGAAGGAGGGAAGGATGGAAGGGGGGATGCGGGATCGATCCTATGTGTGTGTGTGTGTGTGTGTGTGTGTTGCAGGCCGCCTCCGACCACTGCGACGACGCACGCGCCATCGACTGATACTAAGAATTGGAGCAAGGAGAAAACTGCGCAACCGAAGAAACCGTCGAAAATGAAATGCATTCAACTCAATGAAAATTGTTTGTCGTACCACCGCACTATGAAATCATTGCGCATTGCCTCCAATGCGTTAACACTGGTAATAACGTTGTACCATTCCTGCAGGTCAAATGTAACTTTTATTGGAATAACAAAGAACATGTGACAATTCTAAAAAATAAGGAAAATCTAGCTCATCAAAAGTTACCGTATTCACAACTAACCGAATTGTAATAGGACTGTAAACCGTACGCATTCTCTCTAATTTCTTCCGTTTCTCTTTCACTCTCTTCATCAAGTGTGGGAAATCTTTCCCACATTTCTATGGACATTTAAGATAACAAAAGAATGAAAGATGAAATCGGTAAATATTGAGAGCGTTAATGCATACTACACTAAGGCATTGAAAAGAGGCGATTGAACACCGAATAAATGTGTTTTGGTTACCGGCAGAAAACTATTAGAGGCAAAAGAAAGCAATGTGATCGTAAGAATAGCACTGTCCCGGACAATTGACACACATCGTATACACGCCATGCCACTAAGGAAAAGTCCCTGAATGTACTGTACAGAAGAAAAAAGAATAACAACTAAATCGATGGGTACAGGACTAAGGCATCACAAACTAGCTCTTTGTGTTTCTGATCACTACGATACAAGTAATTTAAAGATGAAACAATAAACTATCATCTCTCTACCCAAATCTCAACTCGAAATGTACAAGATTTACAAGAGAAAACACTATCGATTGAGTGATGAAGAGCAATTCAACAAAGCAAAAGAAAACGAAAAGAGAATAACGTCAGAGGTGCAAGCGATAAGAGCAATGACAGAAAGTGTTAAGGTACTGCTGGTGTATCTCACTTCACTATGAATTTGGATAAGCAGTCATGATAATCGAATGATTCTAAAGAAACGTCTCATATCTACACAACTGGAAAAAGAGCAGAAAAGCGGTCGCGTTGCGGCTACTAATCAATAGCAACTTAAACGCGCAGCCTAGCAATTACGGTATAGTCCTGATTCCTGATACAAACACACAGAATTTTTGAAGTATATACAGCTCTGTCTGAGGAATAATTCGGTGCGATGACCATGGATGGAATCAAAACGAACACTCACAAGAAAAAAGCCTGGAAATGAATCCCAAAAAATGCTGAAGTCACTTCTTCGGTGAATATCGTGGATTTCGCGGTAGCTCCGTCTCGGCGATCAGTCGATATCGAGCGGAATCGTGACCAACATGACCCTCCAGCTCCAGATTCAAGACGTCCAGGGTATTGTTTTGGGAGAAAAGCATTCGAATGTCGGTGTGTAAATACAGACGACATCGACGATCTGTGGCCAGCCTAGGAATGAAAACAGATGAAATGAATCATAACCCTAAGTAGCATAAACTGGTGGCATTTTCTAATAAGGTATATTCGCTACTGTTTCGCTGTTGGGCTCGATCAGTCATGAGCGTTTCCTTGAACTCGCTGGCAGTAAACTATATGAACGCGATTAGTTAATTTCACTAAAGTGGCAGTTGTGCTTCAACCTCGTTCCTACCTTCTATCTTTCAAGTATGAAACCAACTAATGCTTAAAATTTATGTTGTAGATACTGGACACTCTATACTAAGGAAACTCTAGGCATTGATCAATCCCTGAGAGATGCGACATGCATTCGACTTCATTAAGCATCGCTGAAGGTGACTGAATGCATATCTGGACTTTACAATAACTCGCGGTGGCCTACCAGTGTATCGAGCCAGTGCTGCTATCTTCCTAGACAAGTCTGCTATCAATTTGGCGACCCCGGAGGAATGGAGGGCATGGTGAGCTTACGGTAAATAATTTTCTGTTTGAATGAGAACTCAGAAAGAGCGACGAAAACAAAAGAAGTAATAACTTCTCATTAGAAGTACTGTACAGATTTGATTCAGCAGAATTCGCTTTGGGATTTCGCTTACGAAGAAGGAAGAACGCAATTCATTAGCAGTATTCCGGATTTCGATGCAAAAGAATTCAGTAAGCAACCCCATTATTATGACAACTCTATTTCCTTTAGAATGAAAAAGCCCATTGTACCCTCAATATCATAGCATGAGCTCAGATACAGCGGATCCTCTCCACGTAATGATTTAACATTCTAAAGAATACTTAATACATTAACAATACCGTGACCTATATATGATTCATATGCTACTACATGTCATAGTGCTATCACTGTAATGAAAGGAAAAAGACTAGAAAAAGAAGACTAAAATTAAAAGAGATAACTTGTTAGCAAATGCGTTAAAATCGGAAATGGTTGATGAACGCGGCAAATTTCGAGTCGGTACTTTTCCCTGGCTTGCTTTGCTTTGTACTGCTTGTTTATCTATCGATGTTATGAGACATTCGCGTAAGCGAGCAGGCCGCAGGTGGGCAAGGCAATCGCGAACTACTAAGATGGTCTTTTTCCTTGAATTTTGAACCGTTGAATTTTCTAGGCTTAAAAAGAACTATGAAAATATTATGTAGATAACAAGACTTGTAAACTATGTGTGGAAATTATACATACAAAGCAATCAAATTAAAGACTGAAAACGCCTTTTTGACGCCCACGGGCCAGTGTGGCGCAGTGGACGGAGGTGCCTTGCAATGCATATGCGATCGATCCCGAGCCTATGGCCTCACAAAGCCTTCCATACCTCCGGGGTCGGCAAACTGGTACCAGACTTGTCTGGAAGGATAGCAGCACTGGCTCTATACATCGGTAGGCCACAGAGAGTCATTGCAAAGACCAGATATACATTCAGTCACCTTCAAACGATTCTAAATGAAGTCGAATGCATGGCGTCTCCCTCAGAGGATTGATCAACGCTGAGAGTTTTACCCTTTATCCTTATTTATCGAACGCTCCACTTTTCACAAATGCTTACCACTACTATTAAAATTTCCACTGCTTTCAACAGCTGTCTGCGAAACACTTTTCCCTTATTTTTTCATTAGTCAACGATCAATAGCCGGTGCAATCAATCAGCAACACATCCACAATCTACTCTAATAAACCTACGACACAATGCTTAAAAGAAAAATGGAAGTGATGAGAGAGAGAGAGAGAGAAAGGAAAGGACAAACATTTAACTAACGTACATAGGTAACGATTTTCCCCGAGCAACGCTGTTTTGGGAACGATTCAGTGTTCTCAAAAAGAAACTATCGAAAACAATTTAAAATCCCGGATTTTCTCGAAAATCTGCCCACGTACCGAAAATGTATGAGATTAACAAGATGTCTGTCCACTTTCGAATCGCCGTCGTTTCCAATGAACGTCCGTTGTCGGATAAAAGTTTGTGATGATGGCGGCATATCACTTATATCGTACGTGATAACGAACACTTTTACTACCGTATCCTGAGGATTGAACAGAGTCTGAAAACGTAGAAATGAATCGAAAAGCAGTATATTTAGCTGTTTATAGTTTATGTTAAAGTAGACCACCAATATGAATAGGGAGTTGAATAACGAAAACAACCACAGCAGTTCTTAATTGATCGAAACATTTTTCGGAAAAGGGAAGGAAAGAAAAAAAAAAGATGACGAACTGCTTGGATAGTCCCTTGCTTTGGCACACGATAGCCATGCCTTCCTAACGCTTCCAAAGAGCATTTACCCTGAATTTTTCTCAAAAATAATGCTAATCGCATAAAACATATAGAACCAACTCACGGAGTGAGTTTGGGAAAGAAAGTTGTACAAAAAACTGCAGGAAATCGATGATGTACAACATACAACCACAACGATGCTGAGATATTCGCAAAAGTTGAATCCCATGCCGGATCGAACAACGACTACCCCTTCCGAGGAGTCGCGTATTACACATTGCACCACAGAGGACTTTGTTCTTTATTTCTCTCAGCTAGTTTTCTACGTAACGCTTCCATCAGCAATCATCCGTCAGCGGGATTGATCCGGGGAGCAGAAACCGACATCGAACCCAGTTAAACTGAGGAAGTGAAAAATTACAGAAGGCAGCAAATAAAAGGTTAACATTATGATTTCGACTATGGCCTCAGCCTAAGTGGGATCAATGCCGATTGCTGATGGTATTGGCAAATAGAAAACTAACTGAGAGAAACGCAGAGCAAGGGCTTCAGTGGTGCAATGTGTAATACGCGAGCCTCCGGAAGAGGAAATCGTGGTCCGATCCGTACCGGAGTCAAAGTTTTGCGAATATCTCAGCATCGTTGTAGTTGTATTTCACATCAAACCCTGCAGTAAAAAATTACAGTAGGCAGCAAATAAAAAAGGTTAACATATACGAGATATTTTTTCACACTCATGTCAGTCGCCAATTGAACGTAACAAACCAAATAAGGTGATGGGGCGGTTTCATTATCATCCAAATCGAAAAAATGGGCAGTCACTGGCAGTGATGTATGTGGTGAAGAAAATGAACCGGATGCGGCTGAAAGAAAAAAGAACAAGGCATCTTATACAATACTACAAAATCAATAAAGAAAATCAATACTGCTACTTCTGTTAGGTCAGTTAGAAGCTTTTTTTTCGTCCTTCCTTTGCATCTACTTTTGTTTAATTGTCTTTTTGTTCACTTCCTCCTCTGATAGTAACGAAACAAGAAGGCAACTAAACTATCATAAGGCATTATATATGTAACATAAATAATAAAAGTAAAAACTTTAAGTAGAAAAACAAATCTGGTAAAGCAAAAACCGACAAAAGATTACTTCTCTGCAATAGTGTAATGCAACCTTCCAAAAGCTTAGAGTTGAAAGTGAAGGATTAAAGCCTTGTAAAAGACTTGAAATCCCAAAAATCACTGCATCGTTGTTGCCTTACCTAGTTGTAACTTAAAGCCGTTGAGTGTTTTCACGGGGTCCAATCGTCCATTCAGCGCACTTTCCTCGAAATTTCCTAGAAGACTACTTGGTTGCTGGCGACATCGTCGTGATTTCGGCAGTACCATATCCGACGCTGCTACGTTACTGCAAAAGATGCCAATCAGTGGTACAGAGGAAATTTTTCGAAAAAGCACTAGTGAGCAAAAGCATTAAATATCTGAGTGAACAACACATACTTTCGTTGCCGAGACAGTGGAGCTGGACTTGAATGCAACGGCAATCCAGTGATCTTAAGATTTATACAATGATAACTTTTTCTATCTATGAAATTCAGAATGATTACTACTAATACGTTGCGCAGTTTTTTTTTTACTACATACCTTGTTGAAAATAGATCCGCGGGTTTTCGATCGTTGACGCCCGTGATCACTCTGTATGACCTGAAGTCGGCTGGCCAGCAACTCGATCTCCTTGGAATCTTGTCGATTCTCAGTCCTCGTCGACATGTGCGTCGAGAGAACTCGACGAGCAGGACGCTAAAGAGCCGTGATAAGAAATCAAGAGTATTTAGCCGTTGGTGCACTTTTGATTGAAATCAAAATCTCTTGAGGAATTCTCAAGCGACCTGATGTTACGCGATGAGAAACATCGTATCCTCAGTCACTTACTCTACCTCATCATTCGGACCAGCGATGGCTGAAAATTTCGGTGACGGACCATCTGGACTAGGCGGTGACGCAGGTGGCAGCGGCTTATGTTTCAAACTGGAAAGCATCAATATTTAGGAAAAAACAGCTTCAATTTATTTATAACAGGTTATCCTAAGAAAAACTTCCCCAATTACCAAGGCATTTTTTTAATACGTAAAAATATAGATCCATTCATGTTCAGAACACTTCTAAGTATTCTTCCGTCTTTTTATAAACAGCATTGTTCCAGAAACTCTACGAAATTTATTCTCAGTCCCTTGCAAACCCTATTATAATAAAATGCTATACTTAGAAGTCAAAGTCAATTCAACGCTTTTCATTAACAGCTGGTGACGACCGGATTGGCTCGATCAATTTGTGAAGATCTTGCAGTGTGGGCCACCGACGATCGCCGCTAATAGCACTCACTCTTGAGATCTAGCAAATAAATGTTCGAAGAGGGGAAATTGCTGGCCGTGAAGATCATCATCAAACATTTCTGAAGAGCTAACACTATATGTCACTGGTATTCGAAATATGAGTACTATGTCAATTCAAAATCGGAGATTTTGCAGAAAGTGCATTATTGAATCCATGGAGGTTCGGAAAGCTTTAAACACCTTTTACACAATCAAGATCTACCTATCACTGATAAGTGAAACAAAAGACGGATCTATCATATGGATGACGCTTAGATAATGGAAGAACAGTAGGACAAATCGTCTAATCAATCACCAGAAACGCTCTGGTAACGATATATTCTCAATCATGGGTTACTAAGATTGTCAACTGAACTCAACAAACAGAGTGGTATCAACATATTAGTAATGTAGTGCACTCCAAAAGTAGATAGGAATCAGATTTGCAACATTGAAGACGTTCTCTCCGATCTAGGAGGGCATGGGAGTGTCTTTGGTGCAGATCTGACAGCGATCAGAAATGGCTAACTCAGGATCTCTGGGAAAATTACACCCGATATGTGAGAACGGGGTTCCTATGTAGGTTAAAGTAAACTACAACTTCATCAGAACTACTCTAAAGTCACGGTCCTTATGTTGTTGCCCTGAATAGTAAGATGGAAAAGTCTGACTCTAAGCCTTTTAGCATATCGGATTTCCCTTTCAAATCGACGTAGGTACTGTGTCGAGCTGCCGTCCAACCATCAACATTAAATACTTTCCGTAGGGAAGTATGAACTTTTTAAATATTTCATGAGTAATTTAATAAATGTAGTGGTCAATAACAAGGATTACCTGGAGATCGTAACAGCCTCAGATGAAGCAATCAGTGGACCGTCGTCGGTTGGCGATTCCAGTGGACTTGGCATAAGCCACTGATCAATCGGAAGAACACTGAAAAGAAGAAAGTCAACTATTTGAGTATTACATTCACTATAATTCTTTTGCAGAAGTAACTCCATAAAGTGAAGTTAAAGAAAACTATTGCTGGCTGAATTCTTTCAGCTTCAAACATAAAAGGAGCAATGAGAGAAAAGAGGCCATGTGGGTCGAATAATGACTCCACTGTGAAACCTTTACCTTCAAGGTGACACCTCTTATCCGGAGTTTAGAAAACACTGTCTATTCAAAAATACGAATCTATTTGTTTGTAGACCTTCTAAACAAAAACTGCGTACAAAAGAAATGAAATAAGCGATCTAGTTATCCATTACAATAAGAGTATAACATTAAATAACATTAGTTTCTGCTCCACTTTTCTGAAATTCCCCCACAAATGTTGTAAACAACATCAATAATTACCGCATAGGATGACTTACCCAAGTGTAAGGCACAATCCAACAGGTACCGGCATTTGTTCAGCTTTCACGTACTTCACAGAGACAACCAACACACTCTGACGATCCATTCGACACACCGGAAACGTGTGCTCCGTGACTTCGTCATCTCTTCTGCTTAATTCACCGGCAGAGAGATGAATTCTGGTATAAATACATAATCACCTATAGATCTCATTTCCAAGGTCTCAAGCCAGTTTCCCCTGCATAAATGGGATCAGTGTGTGAAATCACGGTCTTTGTTGCGCCAGAATGATTTATACTTCACGTACGTACATCCACACACAATCGCACACATGTGTACAAGTGTTACCCACTTCAGGCGAAACCTAAATCCTTGGACAGGCTCCTTGGTGCATCCATGGGCATAGTCCCGGCTCACCCGAGCCTATGACCTGTCGTACGTGGATTCGGGTAAAATATTTCACTCAATATTCGGGGATAGATGGCTCGGCGCTAGTTTGATGAAAAATAAGCACAACGGGTTCTCCAGGAAAGCAAGTTATCTATGAGTGTAACCCGCATAAAAGAGCACGCTGAGGTACTTCTGACTATTCCCACGTCAAAAACAGGAAAACAGAGACCACGAAGTAAAAAAGTGATGCCATCATAAGAGCGGAGTTCAACGACTAACTCATTCATGAGGAACGGATGAATAGCGACTTCGTTATTACCCGCTTGAGGCACCCGAAAAATGATTTTTGGTACTTGCAGACTTTTAACCAAATCGACATAGAGGGTACCATACACTTTCCTATTTCCCAATACCCGTTTTTCTATACAAAAAAAACTTTAGACACAGTTTTTGTATTACACTCGCTCACTACTGAAGATACAGTGATGGGACTGAAGAGAGGACTGGATGATCACTTTGAAAAAATCAATAAGAAAGCTTTAAAAAACAAAACGAATCGATGAGCATACACCCACCTATACGTGCATGATACACCATCCGGTAAGCGACCGCTTTGCATTGAAATCCATGAATTTAACTGTGAGAAATGAAGATGAGATCTGATGGCGTTTTTGAGAAACATCGGAGCGAGACCCTACAAGTTCACCAGTAACCATGAAAAACTATATGGCGCCAAATTATTCATGTACACGGATATATTTATGCATACGCATGTATATATATATATATATATATATATATATATATATATAAAATCGCGTGGCTGGGCCAGCTAAAATTTAATGAAGAACTGTATGCGCATTGCAAGGTATCCCCAACCAATGCAAACACGCACCTGCACATGTATATATACATAATACATATATATGTATATATACATATATAAGAATAAATAAAGTATAAGGCTCTCAGTGTTGATCAAACCCTGCGGAATGCGTCAAGCATACGACTTCATTAAGCATCGTTGGAAATGACTGAATGCGTATCTGCCTTTTAGACTGACTCGCGGTGGCCCACCGATGTATCCAGCCAATGCTCCTACTCTCCCAGTCCAGTCTGGCACCAATTTGTCTATCCCAGAGGAATGGAGGGCTTGGTGGGTCTCGGGCGCAAGGATCGATCCCATCTGTATCAGTGGGCCACCGACCACTGTGCATCATATATACAACAGAGATATATACAACACATGTACATATGTGTGCAAATCTACCGTCACTTGTGAATTCCATTCGCGTCGAATCGTCCACATCTCGATGGTGATCGCACGGGAACAATTTTCTCCACATGATGAATGTACAATGATTGTCTGCAATCAGTTAGCCATGACTTAACAGTATGAATAAACTATATGGTCACTCTATAACTTGAGAGAGTTTCACAAAAATTCTATACATGAATCTTGCGAAAACTAAACAATCGACTGGAATCGAAAACATAACAAACAATTCCTGAGCAAATTCCGACTCCGCTTCAAGGAAATTTCATTTTCATAAACGTAATTTTTGTCGACTCACCTCAACATGAACAACACTAGCCTGTGTCTTCGAAATAGATGGCCGTGATGCCGTCGAGTTGCCGACGGACCCACGAGAAGTAGCGATCAGCTGCACGATCTCTGTCGTCAACTCGTCGCCCATGATGTATGTTCACCAGAAACCACCGGGGACACCACCAATACAGGGAGACGATACCCGTAATGATAAGAAGAAGAGGAATACTTCGATGCAGCACTTCTGCACTAAATCGTCATCGATTTCATTCATCCGAATCACATCTAATAAATCTGAAATGAAATAGACATCGGTTTAGAGTTCCACGTGCAAAGCTGTCGTACGTATCGTCGTTAGACAAGAAGAATGACGGCAACTGCATACGAAAAATGTTTTCGAGTAGATTCGACAGAACGTTAATGAATGATTTGACTTGCAAAAGAATACTTGACATCACGAAATAAAATGAAAGAAAGAGCTTTGATGATCTTTAGTTATAGAACTGGCAAGACTGGGGTCAATTTGACCCTTCCAGGCTTTGAGGAAGGCGAAATCCGCTGAAACATCAGCTTCATAACAATAAAAAGTAAAATAACACCTCGTGTTTACGGAACAAAAATATAAACCAAAGGAAGAATAGAAGACGAGCAAGAAGTTCAGCTACTGAGCTCGCTATCGATTACGGTCAATAATGGGTGCGATTCCCTTGGCGTGATTCCCACTAAGCTCTGTTTAATCCGTAAATCGTTAAGAAGGGGTCATTAACGCATTCATAACTATAGTGGTTTCCTGATAATCGCCAACAATTTTTGTGAGCGTCAAGACTTCAAAGACTTAAAAAAACAGCTCTCCGAGCTAAACAATCCCTGAGGGATGCGCCATGCATTCAACTTCATTAAGCATCGTTTAGAGGTGATTGAATGCATATCTGGCCTTTAAAATAACTCGCATTGGCCTACCGATTATCGAATTTGCCGACTGCGGAGGGTGGATGGCTTGGTGGGCAATAGGCGCGAGTATCGATTCCACGTGTGTGTTGCAGGACGCCTCCAACCACTGCGCTACATGTGCCCCTGGGTAGGTACGTCTTTCCAAAAATACTGCTTTAAAGTGTTTGCCTTGTTTCATTGATCAGATAACACGAGGTTACTACAACCCCAACCCACAACCGAGCTAAGAACCTTGTGTTAGCTTATCAATGACTGATCATTTATACCGAGGCTAAATGAAAGTCGGTTTACAATAATACTTCTTCAATTTGAACTTACTTAAGGTTCAAATTTTCAACAAACTGTTAACATTTCAATGCAAACGTGGCAGCTGCGAACATTAACAAAAGGCTCGTGGACGTAAGGTGTCCTGCTGGACGTAATCCCATTTGTTCAATCTCCCTTAGCCGTTAAAGATATGAGCCTCGATGAAAGACGGAAATAACACGAAGAAAAAAGAACACGTGCAAAGTGCAAAATCTGGAAAGCTTTATCGTAGTAGTAGGATACGAGGAGATCTGACTAACCCAGCTGTTTCTTCTTTATCACCTAATTAACTTCATTACAAATTGCGATGTACCTGTTCAACGTTGCAAGGTTTTCACATGTGCGTTGACAGCAATTACAATGTGGCCAAAGGCGCCGCTGCCAATGCACTTTGTTGTAGGCCACGTGTGCATTAAATTCAATGCGTATTGCTGCGAGTATATTGCCACTTGACCAATATAGTAGATAACTAATAAGCCCAAAGCGATTGATACATAAGAACGAAGCGCAATATTCAAAATGACAGACCTGAAAAGAGTGTACGAAAAACAAAACAGAAAGAAAACTGAAGATAACAAAGAGTTGATGAGAAACGCAAACAACTGAAAGTCGACAGCATACAGAAAGAAATCCGTCATTCACAAGTGCGTACTTAGCAGAATTCAAGTATTCCAATTTGTGGGAATTCTTTTGAAATCCACTAAAAATTCGAGTATTCACAAGACTGTGAAAGAAAGAACAGCTCCGGTGGAAAGAAAGCCCGCACAATTCTAAAATTAATTTCACGGCTGAGAGAAAGGCGAAACGAAGGACACGCATGGTTTGGTGGTAAAAACGTTAGCCCCGGAAAGGGTAATAGTGCGTTCGTTCCGCGACACCAGCGATGCCGAGTTTTGTACACATCTCAGCATCACTGCAGTTGTATTTCACATCATTTCATGCCATGAAAAAGAACAGGCATTGAATAAAAAGTGATTAAATTCTAAAACTATCGACGACTTCAGGTGGAAAAGATGACAACCGAATACTGTTAAACTGGCATCACACTATAAAATTTTAAAAAAAGGAGAAAAAGGAAGAAGACAAAAAAATGGAGATGACATGAAAAGAATACTGGATCGATTCGCTTCGGCTGGAGATGATTTGTTTAGATTGTTCACAGCTAAAAAATCAACTCAGATACGTCTACTTGGCATAGAATAACTTACTTCTTAAAAACAACACAAAACAAGTGGCATATGACGCAACTGAATAGAATAGCTATAAGTATTGTAATGACTATGGAAAGAATGTGAAAAGCTACTAATTATGAGCAAGGTAATTAATCAGACGACGTCACAAGTAGCACCTAAAAAATGACGTTATCAGATCAACGATTGCATTCCAGTAAGCATACAGCCCATTTCTTGAAGAATAAGACTTCCCGTGCTGACCTGTCTCCAGAATATGCACCAAGCGTCCACCCCCATTTGTGGCATAGATGTGATCGACTGCACACTTGACCTACACTATGACTAACAGCCGCTTATCAACAGTGTTAAATCAGCGTGGCATTCAACCTTATTAGCAGCATCGTAGGTGTGATCGATTGCAAACTTGATCTGCACAACGACTTGCGGCTGCTTACCAATATATCGATTTAAGCAGTATTCACCACCACTTGTAGCACCGCAGATGTGATCGATTGTATATTTGATCTACACGATGATTTTTCTTTCTTGGTGAGCAAACACGAAGTTGGTATTGCAGTGTTTATTAACACAGAACAGCTGACGTTTTGGCGGTTTCGCATTCTTCAGAAAAACTTTCTTCAGGAAGGAGAAAAAGGAAAACGCTTTTCCCCCCTCATCTAGGATTCCGTGCGTCAGAGTCTCCAATAATAACCTGGGAACTCAAGAATAATAAAACGGCTTTAACGAAGGCGAAACCACGGAGACATCAGCTATTCTGTATTAATAAATCCTGTAATACAAACCACGTATTTGCTCAGCATTAAAAACAATGTATTATTGATCAACACCGAGGTTCGACGAAAATCTGTTTTGGGATTTGCTAAACATCACTGCATTTACACCATTCCTAAAGTAGTCCACTACCAAACTGCAAGCCTCGAAGAGATGTGAGGCATTGTTGGTCCACGACTTGGGATCGAACCAATGATCACCTGTGTATTGCGGGGCATCTCGAATCATTGCGCGACATGTGCCTTTTTCCATTATGTTGTAAATGTTTCGCTACGCTTAAAAGTTAATAGTACATGATATCAAAATAATGGCTCACAGTTTCCGAGTTTATCGCCGAAATCATGATGTCCACCAACCGATCATCCTTCTCATGCAGTCAGACCTCTGTCAGTTAGTGTCAGTTAGCAGGTTCGTCAGCGTAATGGAACATTCTCATCGATAACCCTCAACAGGCATTATGTACAAGGAAAATCCATATTTTGCTGCCCCAATGGAACATAAACAACATCATGCTGCGTTTCAATGAAATCGATCAGAGTTAGAGACATCGTAATTCTTTTCGTCTTTACTCGATACACTTATTAATAAGTAATAAATTGCACATGCTTTACTCAGGGGAGAAAGTTTCTCGTTCGCCTAAGTATGAAATTATATCAATCAATAACAGAAATAAAACCAGTAGACCCAATAACCCCTGTGCTTCTGCTGAAAACAAGAATGCAGTGGAAATGAACGAAGTTACTTATCATTCCTTATCTGCTAGTAATTTAACTGATCATCTAGACAGAAATCAATCGTTTCCCATTTCACTGATATGCTGCAGAGTCTCGTACAATTTTTGTCACCATAGTACAGCGAAGTCCGTGCCAGGATGTTCCCTTGTCGTCATTACGGCCAGTCGTAGGCCGTGATGAATGAAGGGCAGTTTTCTATCGAATGACTAGGTCCTTTCTATAACAGCGATAATTCTTGGAATCCATTCGCTCTTTAGCTACTTTGGGATATAAATGTTGAACTTTCATTCAGCTTAAATGAGGATAAGCCCAATGGTGCACTTCAACGCCAAGGCATTAAGCCCCATTTCATGATGGGCCCATTAACCTATGAGCGAAACCTAAACATAAATGTATACAATCTAGTCAATAAATGAACACCATTGTAAGGTATACAAACACCAACCGACATTATTGGATTTCGGAAGTGCTGAGTAAACGAGTAACCTAAAGGTTAAACATAGTGGACTATCAATGCGGATCATCGGATCTGAGAAAAACAAGTACGTAGAAACTTTGCCCGAATAAAGTTGTTTATCAACCTCGTGTTAGCTTGACAATGAAAGGATACATGTTAAACACAATGTTCATAATTTTTCATAACTCCACTATTTTCAAATATTTCCTCTTTAAAATGTAAAAAATAGGCTAAAAACATAGTGCAGTGGTTAGAAGTCCCTAGCAATACACATGTGGCTTATTCGTTCTTGCGCCTCAGAAGAATTACGTAGTCACCTCTCCGGATCGACAAATTGGTACCGAATTCTCTTAGAGAGTAGAAGCACTGACCTGATAGATAGAAAGGTCTCCTTAAGTCATTCTATAAGCCAAACATATACTAAATCATCTCTGAAATGCTTAATGGAGGACAAGATGTTTCTCTAAAGGAAAGATCAACAACGGAGGCTTTATCCTTTATCCTTCTAGCGGGGAAAAAAGCCCCTACTACAGTACTCTACGTTCGGCGTTGTTTGCCTGATACATTAGCTTTTCCTGTAATCAATAGATAAGTAAGATAAAAATAAACTATTTCTCATAAAATCAAGAATTAGGGAACGGTTATGCAGAACACTGCACAGAATCGTTCACAAGATAAATAAAGCATCGCATCCACCATCTATCGCCGTCCGACGAAACAACACCGCTCAGTGCAC